CTAATTTAAGTTGACTCGTTGGCATTCCAGTTTTATCATAGAAAAAGTAATGATGAGAATTGTTTGCCTCGTGGAGTTGTTATAACTAAGGGAGAAAATTAATGTGAAGATGTTTTGTAAAGAATAAAGTACTGCATAAATGTAATTTATTCATGTATTACACAGCAGTTACTGTGTGCCAAGCCCTGTTTGAAAGCTTTACAAATATTAGCTCAGGTAATCTTCACAGTAACCCTATGAGCTAAATGTTATTACAATGATAATCCTTATTTTACACATATGGAAACTGCTTGTCCATGTCCCACAGTTGGCAAAAGTAGAGCTGGGATATGAACCCAGGAAATATGTAGCAGACAGAATCTACATCCTCGACCATAACCCCACGCTGCCTGCAATACGTGATGATTATAATTATGATTAGAGATGTGACTAGAAAAGGCACAAACAACTCTCACTTTTTCTCTTTTAAAAGTCTGTGAAAAATAAAATAAAATTATGCAGAGAATGAATCGAGGAATGTTGAAGATAAAAGCAGAAATTAATAAATTATAAAAGAGAAAGATGCAGAAATGACAGACACTTTCAAGAGCTGATTCTCTGAAGAAAAAAAAACGTAAAAGAAAGAAACTTCTTGAAGTCTAATGAAAAAAAAAAGAACAAGTAAAAGCACAACCACAAACACTAGAAATGATAAGATATATCATGTATTAGAGAGGAGGTGGAAAATGTATGAATACATTATCTATAATTCTATAGCAAGATGTGAAAAAATGTTCCCAGATCAATTTCCTAGGTTAATTTTGGTAATTTAGAATTCCTTAGGAAATTGACCAAGGAATGAATATATATATATATGTATTCATCTGGAATATATATATATTACATGTTATATATATAATATATATATTATACATGTTATATATATAATATATATAAGATATTATATATAACATATATATAATATATATATCATCACATAATCCTTTAATGGCAAATATATAATATATAATATATGATATATATAATATATATAACATATATTATATATAAATAACATATATATAATATATATGTATCATCGGCATAATCCTTTAATGGCAAAACTGAAAGGGAGTCCCATGAATATGAACATATCCACAATCATCAACCCTGATTTGGCAAAAAGATAAGAAATAAAGCAGAATAATTCAAAAAGATGGGGACAAAACTATGTGTGATGGTGTTCTTAACAATACGAAAATCTCAACCAAAGGAGCAAATAAAAAGAGTTCGGGAAAGTGGCAGGTTAGAAAAGAAAATAAATATCCAAAATGTAGGTTTCCTGCCTACTAGCAATAATTAATTTTCAAATGACATGGAAAAGTCCCACCCCCTTTGTAACATCAGCCAATATTGTGGAATAATTATAAATACATAATAAATGGGCAAGTATGTGTACTACATTTCAGAATCAACCTATTTAAAATTTCAAAACTTTATCCCATTGTGGTGGCCATGGAAAGAGAACCTGCTTGACTCCAATACCGCCCACCAAGTAAAGGCCACGCCCTCCCCGGGATGCTCCCAGTCAATGAGCAAAAGCGATTGGGTACCAGCACATGGCTAATTCTACCAGAGGTGGAAATCCTCCATTGCGAAATCTTTGGCCTAGGCTCCCAATCAGCTGGGTGAGATTTTCTTGGCTGCACAGCAGTGTGAGGCTAGTTTTACCCATTTCCTCCCCCCACCTATTTCTTGTCCTTTCCCTCTCCCCTCTTTTTCTCAATAAGACATTTGAGGTTTATTCCTTTCCTTCTTTATGAATGTCAGATTTCATCAGTGGCTGACAGTGTTCCTGCCTTTTCCTGTGTTCTCTCCTATATTTTTCTCAGGCTCCCCCGCCACCTACCCCATAACCTAAAAAAGCCACTAGAGAAAATTCTCTTTAAATATGTTGGGTTTACTCAGGAATAAGAAATCAGGATTATAATCTGGAATGCATGGAATGGCAAACCACCAGGGAAGGGTAAAAGGAAGCTTGCATTAGCAAAAAGGAATTTAAATAAGACCTTAGAAACAAAGTTTATTGGTTCCAGAGATGCAAAGCCAGGATTGTTGTCAGTTCATTGGTGGTCTTCCCATTTACTGGGCATGTGTTCTGAGAGAATCTTACCTGAATTACTGCAGTCCTAAAGAATGTCTGGTAATAAATCTTATCAAAGCAGGGGATGCATGAAGGTGAAAGGGTTTCTTACGGGGTTTTTAGAAAGTCCTTGTGAAAGGTTTTTATCTCAGGCATGTAAGCATGTGCTTCCTCTACTTCATGCCTTCCCAGCATTATTTCGTCTGGGTCTGATGAAAGTGATTTCCTCTTGTTATCCGCAACTTTCACACCCCACAACGCATCTCTTGCATGTCTGATTCTGTTCTAACTTTGGCTTCCTGAAGAACTTGAATTAAAACCCACCAACAATGCTATTTCATAAGCCCCTTTCCAGCTTTTTTTTTTTTTTTTTCTATTTAGCTCTGTCTACTATTTAACATTCTCTGGTATACTTACTTATCTTGTTCATTGTCTTTATCTCTATCTCACTAGAATATAACCTCCATGAGGGCAAGGAATTCTATTTGTTCTTTATGTTCAGTACCTAAAATAATTCCTGGCTCATGTCAAGTGCTCAATAAACATTTGTTGAATGAATTAATGAAGGAAATGTTGTTAAATAAGACTTGAATAATGTTCTTGGAAAAGATGAAAATCCCAGTAGAATTTTAAAAAGTTTAAATTGAAAAATAAATATTTAAAAATAGACAACAAAATGTCAAAAAGAATAGCAAGATATTATATGAGATATTGAAAATCTAAAGATGCAATAATTAAAGCAGCCTGGTGATGATTTGGGCATGGATGGACTGATCAGTAGGGGAGAATTAAAGCCCACTGTCATGCATTTTTGCAAACTCGAGGCATGAATAAGCATTTAAGGAAAGTATTATTCAATAAATGATATTAGGAAATCAATGAGAAAATAACAAAAAGACAATTCACAAGAGAAGAAATACAAATAACTTATACAACTATGAAAAAAATATTTGACTCAAGGAATTACAATAAAAAAAGGCACCATTTCACCTTTAAATTTGGAAAGGTAGGGTAGGTAGGTAAATAGAATATTTATATTGAACAGAGAAATCATGTGTTCTTTATGCTATTGATGATGCTGTCAACCGTCAAAAGACTGTAGGATGATTTGACACTATACGTAAGAAAACTGATGGTTTTGTGTATCTTTTGAACAACTTTCCAATTTATGATTGCAGCTTAAGAAAATAACATAAATATGAGCAAAAATTTAACTAAAATATATTTCTTGCCATATTGTTTATAAAAACTTAAAAAATGGAAATAAATATGAGACACTAAAAAATTGGCTGAATAAATTGTACCACATGCACATGATGATGTATAATTTAGCCATTTGAGTGATTTTGTAGAATATTTAATGTCAGAACGATGCTAAAACTTTTACTGGTCAGAATAAACTAGATAAATGGAGATAGGTATAATCTAGTGTGAGAAGAATTCCAAAGTTCTCAGTGCCTTACACAATGGCTCATATAGAACTGGGTGACTCTTAAAGACAGCTCTCCTCCCTCCACATGTTGGTTTAGCATTTCAAGATATCTCCTTCTTATGGGAAAATATCCTATATTTCCATCTCCATGTCACAGCAGGAAAAGGGCAGATCAGATAGTCACTACTACTAAAATGCTTCTACTTCAAAGTCGCATATGTCACTTCAACTTAAATTTTATTTGGCAAAGTCAATGGTTATATCGCACCTCAAAGGACAGGGAAGTTAGTCATTTTGTGGACTTGCAAGGAGAAGAGAACAAGATATTAATTAATAGTAGTATTCTTACAATTAATGTATTCTGTTAAGAGTTTAAAATGACAGTACAGCTTGTAAAAATTGCATGTATATATTGTTTGTGTGTGCATCTCTGTGTGTATCTGTTTGGATAGAGATATGGATAAGGTAGATGTAGACAGATACATATGTACATATAGAGTCAACAGAATCTCTCTGGGTAGCAGGGCAATAGATGATTTTTGTTTTCTCCTTCTTCTTTGAGACGGAATTTCACTCTTATCACCCAGGCTGGAGTGCAGTGGCATGATCTTGGCTCACTGCAACCTCCCCCTCCCGGGTTCAAGTGATTCTCCTGCCTTAGCCTCCTGAGTAGCTGGGATTACAGGTGCCCGCTGCCATGCCTGGCTAATTTTTTTTTTTTTTGTATTTTAGTAGAGACGGGGTTTTGCCATATTGGCCAGGCTGGTCTCGAACTCCTGACCTCAGGTGATCCTCCCATCTCAGTCTTCCAAAGTGCTGGGATTACAGGTGTGAGCCACCAGACCTGGCCTCTTATCTGTATTTTTAAAGTATTTTTACAATAAGCAAATGTTGTTATAATAAGAAATGAAGTTGTAACATTAAGAAAAAAGGTACATAATATGTTTATAACTGTTTGAAATTCAAATTTTATGTGTCTTTTAAGAAAGTAAAATCCTTTCAATTTTACCCTTTGCCATTTTTTATCATTCCTATCTCTTCTCTCTACTACTTTGCTCAGGTCCCTAAGCAGAATAAATTGTTGTTAAACTTCTGTTTGAGATGATTGTTGTTAATTTCCATTCCAGTTCAATAAGATAGTGCTCAACTCCTGTGACTGAGTTATGATTAAAATAGCATTACTCCTCTTAAGGAAGATACAACGAAAGGACAGTTGGAGTTAAGTATATTCTAATGGCATGAGAGCAATTGTCACTAAAGAGATTTAAGATATGACCTTTTATTCTCGACCACAACTGTTCTTAAAAAAAAAAAAAAAAAGAAAGAAAGAAAGAAAGAAAAAAGCCTTGTGCATTTTGAATATCAGCACTCAACCCCATTTGGCTTAGCAAAAAACTTTGAAGGTTGAATTTTAACCCTGTTTTCTATTTCATTCTTGCCCCTTAGAATTCAAGTGTCTGTATTGGTGAAGGCAAAAGTCCTGCTTGATTGAGGCCTCCATAGCCTGTGACTCCATCTGAGCAGTGTCCCTTCAGAAGCTGCTTAAACATTTCCCTGAGCTTACAGAATTGCACTGCACTCTGGGTAAGCATGGTGTCTATATATATTATATGAGATGAATCTGCCTTAGACGAGGGGATCTTCAGAAAGCATCCAAACCAGCCTGCACACAGGACAGCTTGTGTGATAAAGCAGAGTCTTTAGAGAGATGTATTTGGACTTCCACAAGTTCTGATGAGATCCTCACTCTCCTTCAGATGTGAGGCTCCAAAAGGAGGACTTTAGGATCTAGAAGTTTGCATCCCAGTGTCTCCTGGAGAATGTTGCTAATCTGTTTGCTATGAATTCTGACTTTATTAACTTTCTTCCAAATCTTTAAAATAAACAAACCCTATTTAATTTACCTGAGAAAAGTCTATGCCTGTCAGTCCTTCATTCTGAGCTGGCTATTTACATTTGTAAATGTAAATATGAAGGCCATGAAGGAATAGAAATACTCTTGAGCTCACTTAAGCAGAAAAGTAGCATCCTTAAATTTAAGGACACATGCAGAAACACCCAAAACCTGTGTTCCAGTTCTGGGAAAGATAATCAGAATGGTGTATCTTGGATTAGGGGATTTAAGACTCCCAAGTCAAATAAGTTACAGCCTTGCAACAATGTAAGGAATTAAATTGTATTAACTGATGACTTCCCAGTGGATGGTGTGAGGCAGTGGTCAGTGAAGGGTGATTGTGGATTTCTAGTAATTCACTATAAAGAGAGGTATGTTGAGAACTCTCAAGAGTCTCTCATGGTTGGGCATACCATTGTCCATCAATGTCCAATTTCTTCCCCATTCATGGTGCAAGGAATATACTTACTTTCTTCAGCTCCCTTGCAGTGAAGTGGGTGCCATATGACTTATTCTGGCCAATGAAGGATGAATGGAAGTGAAAGATATCACCTCTGGGCTGAAATAGTAAAAGGAGCATATGTTTTTCCAGTCTTGCTCATTCCTGCTGAATCATCCAAGGTGGTGGTGTCTCCAACAGTTTGGAATTTGTGGTGACCCCATAGGGAAGGTGTATTAGTCCATTTTCACTCTGCTGATAAAGACATACCCGAGACTGGGAAGAAAAAGATGTTTAATAGACTTACAGTTCCATATGACTGGCGAGGCCTCACAATCATGGCGGAAAGCAAGGAGGACCAAGTCACATCTTACATGGATGGCCTCAGGCAAAGAGAGAGCTTGTGCAGGGAAACTCCCCTTTTTAAAACCATCATATCGGCCGGGCGCGATCCCAGCACTTTGGGAGGCTGAGGCAAGTGGATCACAAGGTCAGGAGATCGAGACCATCCTGGTTAACACAGTGAAACCCCGTCTCTACTAAAAGTACAAAAAATTAGCCGGGCATGGTGGTGGGTGCCTGTAGTCCCAGCTACTCGGGAGGCTGAGGCAGGAGAATGGCGTGAACCCAGGAGGTGGAGCTTGCAGTGAGTCGAGATCACACCACTGCATTCCCACCTGGGCTACAGAGCGAAACTCCCTCTCCAAAAAAAAAAAAAAAAATCAGATCTCGTGAGACTTATTCCCTATCATGAGAACAGCATGGGAAAGACCTGCCCCATGATTCAATTACCTCCCACTGGGTCTCTCCCACAACATGTGGGGATTCAATATGAGACTTGGGTGGGGACAAAACCAAACCATATCAGGATGGTTGCCCTGAAGAGATACCTGGACCAGTAGCTGACATTACATGACTGAGAAATGCATCTTTGTGGTGGTAACCTATTCATATTTGGGGGCTATTTGTTACCATGGCAAAAATCAGTCTATCCTGACTAATTTACTCTGTATACTGGTTCTAATCCATTTTCAGGCTGGACCCAAATCTGGTTTTATGTCTTCTCTGATCTGGTCTCAACTTGGGCCATTGCTGAGTGCTGACCACACTATAGCTGTTTATTTAGCACTGGGTTTTCCAAGCCATCTTATCCACCACAGGACAAGATCCTGTCTTTAAGATCCTTGACCCAATAAACTGCTCTGAGGAAGCAGTTGCCATGCCACACTTTTCAGATGGGTCCTTTCTTCTGTCCAACCTTTATTATTTAAAGTAGTTAAGAAAATGGGCTTCATATTCAGATGAGCTTAGGTGCAAATCTAGTCTCAGTCATTCCTAGCCAAGAAAATGGAAAAAAAAATGAGAAAGTTGCTTAATCTAAAAGCTTGATTTCCTTACTTACAGAACGGAAATGGTAATAGCACTTATGTACAGGACTGCTGAGAAGGTAGAATGCGAAAAGTGAGTAATATGCCTGGAAGGAAGTACTGTTACATAGTACATGCTCAATAAAAGCTGGTTGTTAGTATTCTTCCCATTTCTTCCCCAGATCAGGGTCAGTTTCCTATCTCCCAAGTCCTTTCTTCGTAAGTCACAGTTTAGCCATTATCAACCTATTCTGGCAGATGTGGGATGACCTGACAATATGCCTGAAAATCTTCATCTAATAATCTTTTCCTTGGGGTTTAGAGGGTAGGAATTTTATCTGCTAAAATGAAGGCTTACCAAAAGGACAAAGTGCTGGGGACATAGTTCCAAGTCTCAGCATGTATGTCCCCAAGCAATCTTCTGTTGGCCAAACAGCTGAGAAGGAAAGAATAAGCAACATCCCTTCTTCTTGCCCTATCTTTGCTTACTGGTTTGGCTGCTGTGTGTGGGCCATGCTTCTAAGAATGAATCCTCTCTGTTTTCTGCTCTGCTTCCTTCTTGGGGATTCTCCATTGACCTCTGGACTCCAGCCATCCTAAACGTTCCTCCGTTCCTCCAGGGCCATGCTTTGCCTACCTCCTGGCATTCATGCATTTTCTTCCCTTGGTCAGAAAAATCCTCCCTCCCACCCTGCCACCCTCACTTGGCTACCTCTTATTCGAAGTTAGGTTTTCACATAGACATCACTTTTCTGGGAAGTCTTTCCTGACTCTGCAGTCCTAGGGCGTTGCTTCTACTGTGAACTCCATAGCATCTCACTTCTTCCTACCACTCCCATGTTTATCCTAATTGACTGTCTACTCATTTCTCATTAGGGTTTAAGCCACCTGAAGAGTTGTAGCCCCAGTGCCTTACATAGGACCTGGCACATCACAGATGGTCAATAAATATTTCTTGACAGAATGAATGAATGTCTTCTGCTCAGAACTTTCATATTCATCTTAAATTTTCATATTGACTCTATCTCTGTATCTAAAAATCATCTTCCAAAGATCTCTTCAGTAGTGCATTATTCTTTAATCACCCTTGCCCCAGTATCCCCTGCCTACCCTTCCCTTCCTCCATGCCCATATGCCAGCTAGCTCCAGTTCATTCTGGAATGGCACAGTAGGAAGCATGATAGTGTAGAACCTGGCTACTCAAAGAATAATCTGGGCCACAGAAGCTTTGGCATCCCCTTGGGAGCTTATTAGAAATAGGGAATATCGGCCTCACTCCAGACCTATTGAATTGAATCTATCATTTAACGAGATCCACAGGTATTTAATTCTGAAGCACATTTAGATTTGAGAAGTGCTGAAGTTTGATTTGTGCACTTTACCCTCTAAACATCAGTTTCCTTTATTCCAAATGAGAAAAATAATACCTGTACCACTGAGTTTAGGTAGGGATCAAATAAGGCAGTTCGTATACAACACTTAGCATAATAAAGGTGGATATTATTGAAACATCCTTCCTCTTCCTGGGTCATTAGTCAGAGATCCCCAGTATGCTTTTGCATATGAATGACGGTCTCTAATTTGCCCTGGATGAAACTTGTAGACTATTTCCATTTTTGAAATCCTAAAGAGCCCATCTTTGAATTGTAACTTTTAGGAGGGTCTCTTCTTCCAATGAACTCTGAGTGGACATTACTGTTTTGGGAAATACCAGTTTTTAGTGCACATCTTAACATTTTAGAAATGTCCTCATTATCAACTAAGTTATTAGCTCCTAAGTAATGAGGCCATGTCTTAAAGCCCTTTTGTCTTTAGCAGCTGGAAAAATATAATGTCCTAAAAGAGGAAGAGCTCAAATATATTCTGATTTTGATGATGATAATGACAATTGCTTTCTGTTGATCATAACTTTCTGGAGAGGTAGAATTTGTTACTCTCATCTTCCTAGCCCAATGTAGTGCTATGGTTTCCAAAGTTCTATTTCAGCAATGGTACCCTTTTGGCAATAAAATATTATAGAACCTCAGTAGATACTAAACATCAGAACTGTGCTGCTCTGGCTAAAATTGGGAAGCGAGCCCAGAATGCCTCACTTTTCATCTCTGTGTCCCATGCCCACATGGCTACAGGAGTCTAGGATTCAAAAGAACTGGCTTTGAGATCTTCTCAAAAGCTTAGCAAGGATCTTGGTCATGTCGCTTTCAACCTGGTGACCCTCAACCAGCTCATACTCAAAATACACTTGTTTACAAAATGGTGGTAAAGAGACAATACTGAAAAACTGGCATTAATACTACTGTTTTATGTTTTAAAGGGAAATGACATCTCCACTGTTTTGTACTTTTTGTCCTCAAATATCATGAGATATCAGAGAGATCCAGGATCTAGGACCAAAAGTCCTCTAAGAAAAACTGACAAAGGGGATTTAGATTTTTAAGCACATTACCCTTGAGAGGAGGTATAGGCCCCAAAGAGCTAATTTGGCCTTATATGTAAGAAAGGGGAGAGAAGCAGATTGGGGAAGTCTTCGCTAGAAGTGTGGAATCTGACCTTGTTGGAACTCAAAACATGATAACCCCAAATTTGGCACCTTGGTCTGCTAAGGATTTTAATCTGAAGGAAACTGAGGAAACCACAGAAACAGGAAGGTTGCCATATTAGTCAGGGTTCTCTAGAGGGACAGAACTAATAGGCTAGATGTATATATGAAGGGGAGTTTATTAAGGAATGTTGACTTACATGATCACAAGGTGAAGTCCCACAATAGGCCATCTGCAAGCTGAGGAGCACAGAATCCAGTCCGAGACCCAAAACTTCAAAAGTAGGGAAGTCAACAGTGCAATCTTCAGTCTGTGGTCAAATGTCCAAGAGTCCAAAAGCTGAA